AGACGCTATATCTTTTGATAGCCGGGCACCATCAGCTTTCTTCACCACATGAGTACAGACAATTTTAAAATGATTTAATTTAAAATGAAATAGTCCTCAGAAAGCATTTTGCTTGTTTCCTTCAATTCTCAAAGCAATGTCAAGACTCTGACTTCTTTTATCTAGTAAAACAGAAAAAACAGGTGATCGTCTTCAATTTTTAATGAAGTCTCACTGCGATGGAGTCCTTGCTGACTCACAGCGACCCCCTGTGGATTCCTGAGCTTGTACCTGTTTACAAGAGTAGTAGCTTAGTCTTTCTCCCACTTTTAATTATAGTTATGTTAAATATATACATTCTTGTTGAGAACATACAATTCAATAATTTCTACCTGTACATTTCAACAATATTTCATACATTCATCAAGTTGTGCAATCATTCTTACACTCATGTTCTGATTGGCCCTCTTCCATTCACATTAACTCACCACCTACATTTCCTGTTTGTTTTTTCAAGTGTCTGTTGTCAATTTGATCCCACGTAAACTTTAAAAGGACATAATACTTAAGGCAGACTTTCATTATGCTTATGAGGATGGTGAGAGACCAGGAAACATTGTATTGTTCTATTATACCTAAGGCCCCTCTGAGCCAGAACCACTTGATAACACCTAACAACAATGACAATTATTTAACTTAAAGAAGACTTCTGTTTGAGAACGATGAGGGCAACAAATGTACATATGTGCTTGACACAATGGATGTATGTATGGATTGTATAAGAATTGTATGAGCCCCCAATAAAATAATTTTAAAAACAAAAGAAGACTTCTGAGGATATTGTTAGTTTTAGCCTAAAAAGTATTTCAGGATGGATGATGGTTTCGGGGATTAATCCAATCTCAATGGCTCCAGAAAATTTTTATTCCACTTATTAAAATTTTAAATTGTGTTGTGCATGTCCCTCACTTTGATCAGGATTCTTGTATGGAATCTTTACTCAAAACAGTCATTAATTGGGCTATTTAAATATCTTAACTCTTCATTGATATTGGTTGTCTTAATTAATTAATTTAAAACCTTTCAGATTTGTTCAGTGGAAGAATGCTGGGATGTTATTTTTGTTTGTTTGTTTGGGGGGGAGTCAAATATGTCCTTAAGTTGAAAAGAAGACCTGTATGAGGAAGATTTTTTTTTTTACTCAAAGGCTGTAAGATATTGGGCAGTTTCATCCATTGTCTAAGTGTGTGAAATTCAATAAATCAGATTAGAACATATTTTAATCAAAGAAGATTGTTACTGAAAGTGTTGGTGCACACAATACCAATAGTATGTTTTGGTTTTAGACTTCCAAGTTAAAATGTCACATGCATCACCTAACCCTTTGTGAAATGTCAAACATAGAGCTCTTTATCTGATTGTCTCTCTTTCTACTGCTCCTGCATGTCCATACTTGAGCTGCACTGCTGTGGCTAATATAAGAACTGGGATGATGAAGGCATTCTGGGTACAAGACTTGTCTCTGCTACTTACTGTGTGACCTTAGGCAAGCCATTTCACTTCTAAGCATCATAGGTTACCTCATTGACAAAGTGGACATATTGCAAGATTGTTAATGGCAACAAGTAAACTACCTGCTCAGTTGGAATCGTGTGGTGATATTTTAACCTACATTAGACTTAGCACCTCAATATCACCTCCAAGCCCTCTGGCAACACCTCTGATGGGAACTGCAGAACAGAAAGACCTAGACCATCTGACAGCTGAGAACAGACACTCGGTTCCTGCCTGCTGATGGCTTTATAGGAGAATTGCACTATTGCTACACATATCTAAGTCTCTATGAACAAAAGGAGGCCTAAAGAGGAGCCCAAGCAATGGAATAAATTTAAATGTATGATTAAGGTACATTAAGAGCTAAAAAATATGGTTTGACAGTTTCTAAAAAAGTTAAACAGCAGTTACACTCCTAAGTATGCATCCAGAAAACTCTAAAGCAGGGACTCACAAAAAGTGCTTGTATATCAATGTTTATTGAAGCACTACTTACATTAGCCAAAGGGTGGAAAAAAATCAGTGTCCATCAATAGACGAATGGATAAACAAAATATAGTCTATACATACAGTGGAATATTATTCAGTCATAAAGAGAAATACAGTTCTGAAACATATTGCAATGTAGATGATACTTGAAAACATTATCCTAAGTGAACTAGCTCAAACACCAAGTGAGAAGTATTGTAGGATTACATTTAAATGAAATATCTAGAATAAGCAAATGCATAGACATAAAGGTTATCAGAAACAGGACAGAGGAGGGAAAGGAGTTACTGTTTAATGGACACTGAGTTTCTCTATGGAGTGGTAACAAAATTGTGGAAGTAATAGTGTGATGTTGCATATATTATAAATGTAATTAATGTCACTGAGCTGTAATTTAAATACAAATAGTTAAAATGGAAAATTTTGTGTTACATATATTTTGTCACTGTGTCCTCCTCAAATATATTGTAAATCCTTTAGTTGGAAAATATGGCCTTGGTGATAGAAATGAAACTGGAGATCACATGATAGGATTTTGCAAGACCAACAACTTCTTCGTTGCAAGTAGTTTTTTCAACAACATGGGCCTGGCCAGGTAGAATAAACACATTGACTCCATCTATGGGGAGAGGTGATGGAGAAGGTCAGTATTAGCAACCAAAACAAAGTCAAGGGCAGACAGTGGAACAGTCAGTTGCTCATGTGTAAGTTGAAGTTGAAGAAAATTAAAACATGTCCACTAACAAGAACCAAAATACAACGTTGAGTATATCCTATCTGAAATTTGGGAATATATCACAAATATATTCGACTCATTGAGCAATAATGAGAGAAGACCTGACAAACTGTGGATGGCACCACGAACATCATATATGAAGAAAGCTAAAAGGTCACTGAAAAAAGAAAGACTAAAGTGGACATCAGAAGAGCCCCTGAAACTTGCTCTGAACATAGAATAGCTAAAGCAAATGAAAGAAATGGCAAAATGCTGAAAAGAAAATGTCAGAGGTCAGCTTGAAAAGACAATGAAAGGTATTATAATACAATGTGTCAAATCCTGGTGTTAGAAAGCCAAAAGGAAAGAATATGTTTAGCATTTCTCAAGCTGAAAGAAGCGAAAAAACATTCAAACCCCGAGCTTCAATATTGAAGATTTCTAAGGGCAAAATATTGAATTATACGTGAAGCATCAAAAGACGGAATATACAGATTCACTATATCAAAAGGAACTGGTTAACGATGAACCATTTCAAAAGATTGCACATGATGAGGAACCAAGGGTACTAAAGGAAAAATTCCAAGCTGCACTTAGGGAATTAGGAAAAAACAAGGCTTCAGGAACTGATGGAATACCAACGGAAATATTTCCACAAGCTACATGGTATTGGAAGCATTCACTAGTCTATTTCAAGAAATGTGGAAGAAGGCTATCTGGTCAAGTGACTAAAAGATATCCATATTTGTGCCCATTTTAAAGAAAGGCAACCCAAAACAATGTAGAAATTATTAAGCAATGTCAATACTATAAGATGGAAGTTGAAAACAATTAAAAAATGGCTGCAGCAGCACATCAACAGAGAGCTGCAAGAAATTCAAGCTGTGGGTTCAGAAGAGGTCACGAAATGAGAGATATCATTATTCATGTAAGATGGGTCAGAGAATGTCCCATTAAATACAAGAATATGTTTACTTCAATTTAACTGTCTATGCAAAGTCATTTGATTGTGTGAATCATAGCAAACGGTGAATAACATTGAGAAGAATGGCAATTCCAAAATCCTCAATTGTGTCCATGTGCAAGCTGATCAAGAGGCAGTCATTTGAACAGAGCAAGGGAACACTGCCTGGTTTAAAATCAGGACAGGTGTGTGCCAGGGCTGTACCCTTCCACCGTATTTATTCAATCTGTGTACTGAGAAGATAATCTGAGAAGTTAGACTCTGTGAAGGAGAATTTGGCATCAGGAATGGAAGAAAGCCCATAACAACCTGCAATACACAGGTGACACAATCTTGCTTGCTGAACGTGAGGAGGACTTGAAGTGCTTACTGAGGGTGATCAAAGGTGGGCTCAAGATCAAAGATGGGTTACAACTCAATGTAAAGAAAACAAAACGTCTTCAAAACTGAACCAATCAGTAACATCATGGTAAATGGATGACAAAAGTTTGAAGTTGCCAAGAATTTCACTTTACTTAGATTCACAATCAACACCCATGGAAGCAGCCATCAAAAAAAATCAAATGATGTACCTCACTGGGCAAAGCTGGTGCACAAAGTGTTAAATTAAAAAAAAAATCGAATCTGTAAACTCTCACCTAATTTACAAGAAAAAGTCTTTTAAAGGATGAAATTAATTTTCATGTTAAAGCCTGTTTAATCCAATTTAGCCTCCAAGTATCATTTCGACATTTAAAATATTTAAAATTAGGAATGAAAAACAACAACAAAATGTTAAAGAACAGTGATGTCCTTTGAGGAATAAGATGCATCCAACCAAAGTACTGTATACAGGTTGATTGGTTCCTGGCTTGATTAAAAACAACAACAATAAATATAAAATGCTTTGGGAACAGTTGGGGAAATTTTAATATGGTTTCCATGTTTATTTGATAAAATTGTTAGTTTTTATTTGTAAAACTGGTAATATAACTATCTAGGGCAAGGCCCTAGTTCTTCTGGGATGGCAGCTTAGAGCATAACTAAAAAGAACATATAGGTGGAGTGTCATGGAGTCTGCAACCTATTCTCAAATTATTGAAAAAACAATGTGGCAAAGTCTTAATAATGAATGATCTAGAGAAGTTATATGGGTACTCATCGTACCATTTTTCAACTTCTCTGTAGTTCATGGGGGGGCATTCATAATAAAAAGCTGAAGAAATTATATCAGTATATTATCTTCTAAAGTACTATCTAAAGATTCTTTATCCATTTTGTTTCAAAGTTGTATCTATTATTATAGTTATATGGGTCTACTACAGCACAGTTCCTTTAAAAGAAAGCAGTTTTTTGCTTTGCCCTGTTGGATTGCAGTAAGTAACATTACAAATGGAAAGTTTATAGTCACCCAGGGCTAAGTTTACTTCAGGAACCACCACTGCAGACGAATCTGTAAGCTCTCTAATAAGGCGTCTTATGGCCGTGTGCTTCGTGTTTCTCCTGTTTCCTGCTCTTCTTGCTGTGGTGACTCTTCTTAAGGCAAATGTTGCCTTTGGAATTTCTCTTGGCTGCTTGTGCTTTCATCCAATGCTTAATCATATGACCGTGTGGGCTGACACAGACTCTTCTGCGCTTGACATGAAGACTGACAAAAGAGGGAAGAAAACATTACCGAGAGAACACACAAATGCAAAAAAGCCTAATGCTCACAGGCGGCCTCCCCTTTTGGACTTAGAGACTGAATCCTAAAGCCGAGCACCATATGGTTAACATTTGACCTGACATGCAGTGCTGCCTGAAGTTCCTTAGACATCAACAAAAAGGAGGAGAAGGGGCAGGAAGACGAAAAGGAAAAGAGGAGGAAGAGGAGGGAGCAGAAGGGAAGAGGGAGATGGAGCCAGGGGAGAAAGACAAAGAGAAAGAGGAGGAGGAAGAGTACGACAGTCTGCATCTTTGGCTTGTACTGTGCTCTTTGGTTTGGCTTGTCCATGTTAGGCTGTATCTCAGAGGTGTCATGTCATTGGAGGTCACCCTCTTGAAGTTGTGTTATATGGTTTTTTATGTATGAAACCCAGGATTGATGAACCTATAGAGGCAGCAAGTAGAATAAGGGTTGGGGGGAAGGGAGTTCAAAGGTGGAAGGGTGGTGAAGGGGAGACAATGTCAAAGAATCCATATAGAAAAAGAATGTTTGGAAACTGATTGTGGCAGCAATTGTACAATTACGTCCAATGTGTTTGAACTATGGAATGATATATGTTAATAATAAAAATAATAATAATACGGGGTGGGGTGGGGAGATGGAGAAAAACAAGAAAGAGGAGGAGGAAGAGGGAGAAGAAGAAAAAGAAGAATCAAGTGAAAATAATTCTCTTCCCTGACCCCAAGTTCCAGTCAACAAGATAAATTGAATCCTTACTACCATGTTAAATATATCCTCCTTCGCAAAGTTTTCCCAGATTCTCAGCTAAATACCCTCTTGTCTCCATTAAGCCTTAATGGTGCTGGTTACCTCTTCTTTTTTTAATATTATTAATCATTCTATTGAGAACATTCCATAGTTACATCAAGCAGTAATGTACAATTGCTACCACAATCACTTTCAAACCATTTTCTTTCTTCTTGAACTCCTTGATATCAGGTCCCTTTTATCCCTCCCCCCGCCTCCCACCAACCAGGAATCCTTATTATTATTTTATAATAGGTTTTTTGCCATATCTTACACAATCCAATATATCTATTCACACATAATTCTGTTGTTTGAGCCCATCAAGTGGGGTATGCAGTCATTAATGCTATCAGCTCCCTATTTCTCCCCCCCCCACCCCTTTCTCATGACCTTTCTTAGCTAAAGAACTAGAAGATAGTTATGAGGTTCATCAGTCTATACTGCACCCTGGATTTATCATCTTCCCTGTGGCCCTTCTGAGTGGGACTGTTCAATAATTTTACAGGTGGGTTTTGGGTCTCCACAAAATCCTCACGCCTTCACATTGATTTCATTGCTTGTTTTTGAACTGCTAATACCTCTTCTCGTCAACACCTCATGAATCACCTGGGCTGGTGTGCTTCTTCCGTATGGGCTTTGTCGCTTTCCTGTTAGATGGCTGCTTGTTCAACTACAAGCCTTTAAGAACCCAGACACTTTTAATAGCCAAGCACCATTAGCTTTCTTCACCACATTTGCTTATGCACCCATCTTCAGCAATCATGTCAGGGAGGTGAGTATCATACATTGACATATTATTAGAAGAAACCCTTCTTGTACTGAGGTAAGATTTAAGTAGGGACCCAAAGTGCTAGCTACCTCTCTTAACACTTAGTTTATTCTGTCTTTTGAGTACTTGTCTCATCCTTTCTACTGGAATTTTGCTCCTAAAAGGAGGAATGGTCTGGAAATGTCTTGAGAAGGCTTTTTCCACTGTAGAAGTTCCATAAATATAGTTATAGAAATTCCATAAATGTAGATATAAAGAGGCAATGGTTCAAAATAATGATAGTTTAATTTTCAACAAAACAATCAATTAAATCATTCCATTTGCAAGACATTCTCTTAACACTTACTAAGATCTCTACCGTATCTTACTTACTGATGAAGATCTAAGACTACAGAGGCTTTAATATGGATTACACCTCAATGTAAGGAAACATAAATCCTCAAAGCTGGACCAATAGAAAACATGATGGTAAATGGAGAAAAGATTGAAGTTGTCAAGGGTTGGATCCCCAATCAATGCTCATGGAAGCAATAGTCAAGGAATCAAATAACATATTGAATTGATCCATTATGCTGCACAAGACCTTTTTAAAGAGCCTTGAAGAGCAAGGGTGTCACTTTATGGAACAAAATATGCTTCATATAATCCATAGCCTTTTCATATGCCTCATTTTCATGTGAACTCTGGACAATGAATAAGGAATAGGGAAACGTCTTTGTACCGCGGTATTGGTGAAAAATATTGGCAATACCGTAGACTGTCAGAAGAATAAGCAAATCTGTCTTGGAGAAGGTACAGCTAGAATGCTCCTTAGAAGCAAGAATGGAGAGTCTTCGTCTCATGTACTTTGAACGTAACACCAGGAGGGAGAAGTCCCTAGAGAAGGACTTCATGTTTGATAAAGAGTCCGAGTAAAAGTGGAAGATCCTCTTTTAGATGGATTGATGCAGTGCTGCAACAAGGGGCTCAAAATCCCAAACCCAGACTCACTGCCACTGAGTCAATTCTGACTCTATAGGCCAGGCTTGAGACTGTAACTCTTTATGTAGTAGAAAGCTTCATCTTTCTCCTACAAAGGAACTGGTGGTTTTAAACTGCTAATCTCATTGCCAGCAGCCCAGCACATAACTACTATCTCATTGTTAGCAACCCAGCACATAATCTCATTGTTAGCAGCTAATCTCATTGTCAGCAGCCCAGCACATAATCTCATTGTTAGCAGCTAATCTCATTGTCAGCAGCCCAGCACATAACTACTATGCCACCAGGACTCCTGCCAATGGGCTCAATCATAACAATAATTGTGAGGGTGGGACAAGACCACCACAGCATCACTATGGATCGGGACAGACTTAATGGCACCTAGCAATAACATATCACATTTTCTAATTGGTTTTCATTTTCATTTGGGAAGGCAGGATCATAGAGCAGCATTAGCAGTTGCTGGTCATTAGAAGAATTTCTTGTCATAGTAGGTATCCTGGGTTTTAACTCCCCATCAGGCACTCACTCATCGCCATCAAGTCAATTCCAACACATAGCAGCCTAATAGGACATAGTGGAATTTCCCCTGTGGGTTTCTGAGACTATAAGTTTTTATGGGAGTAGAAAGCCTCATCTTTCTTCCATGGATCAGCTAGTGTTTTTGAGCTACAGGGCAGGCCGTTAGCAGCCCAATGTGTAATCCGCTCCAACAGAGGTCAGCATGCTTTTGAGATAGAAAAGTCAATCCTGTCCCTCACAACAATTAAAAAATCATTGGAGAGCCATAAACATATTTTTTTACAAAGAAATGAAATCCCTGTTACTTGAAAAAGATCCTTTAAATTTTTTATAAATGAAACTATGATAGTGTTATTTTCATTTTCAATTTTACTTCAGAGCCCTGTGCATATTGAAAGAGCCCCATCTGCCTTGAGAGCCCCACCTGCACCAAACTCTCAGGGCTCCTCATCAGGCCCTCTCTCATCCCGACAAGGTTATGGGGGAGAGTTTTGACTCCTGAGAAACCGTTAGACTGACCACTTGATTCCTTCTGCACACACGGGTGGCTCAAGACCGCCTGATAGCCACAGAGGGGTGATCCTGTCAAAGAGACTAGAACTCTGATGGTCCCATGAACTCTGTTCCACTAAACACAACAGCCCTTCACAACCACTTTTGCAAAAACACTGAAGTCTCCCACATGATTTAATTGAACAACCCCACATTTTCCTCCAATGGATAAAATCTATGCCATTCAAGGCATCTCGGGCCTGAGCCCAAGATAAACAACTTTGCATTATATTTCATCACAGAAGCAGCTCTTCAATGAAGTTACTGTAGAGAGATTCAAACAAGGAAGCTGCTGTCATGCATCAGAAATTACAAGGACCATTTATACGGTGTGAAACAAGGGGTCTGTTTCTCAGCAGAAGGAAACCAATAAGAAATCTAGTGAGTTCACTGTGAGTTAATGTATAATAATTAGCTGTGATTGTGTATAGATGCTATTGGGAATTCAGTCTTAACCATGTTTGCCGAATACAGAAAAATTTCCTTAAATTCTAAAATGTAAGGGATAAAGATGCATGCTCTGCAGGGAAACAATTTGAAAGAGAGCCTGTCTGTGATGTTGGATGTCAGGAAACAGGACAACAAGGAGGAGGAAAGTATTGCTTGTGATTAAAAAATCCCACATAGTCAATAATCATGTTGAGACCCGGATCAGAAATGCTCTGCAGTTTTCAGCTTTCTTAGAAGCACAGAGATGTTGATTTATAAACTGGCCCTTGAATAAGTATTGTTAGGTTCATGTAATCTGTTTTATAAACAACAAACTCATTGCCATTGAGCCGATTCCGACTCCCAGGGACCCTCTAGGACAGGATAGAACTGCCCCTGTGGTTTCTGAGACGGTCACTCTACAGGACCAGAAAGCCTCATCTTTCTCCTGGGTTGGCTTTATAGTTTACCTTTCATTAAAATGGAGTCGTTTTTTAAAATGAACACTTACGTCTCTGCTTATTTTCCCTTATCAAAGTGAGGAGGCCTTGGGTCATTTCTGTTCCTATACATTTTAGTTCACTACTTTCTGGTTTATTGTGAAGAAACTTTTTTGAAAATCCTGTTATCCATAGTGTTTCCTTCTTCGTCCTCGGAATCTGTCTCGTCATCTTAGACACACGGGAACGTCCACTGGCGCTCTCCCTGTGTCTCCGTGGGAGTCCACAGGAGCCCTGACAAGGCCTGAGGACTTTTTTATTCCGAGGGGACCCATGCCAGTGATGTGAGAAGAATTGAGACGACTTGAGGAGTGTTTCTGAGAGTAGGCAGGGCAACTTCAGGCAGATGTAGCTCAGCTATGCCAACCTGACACAGGCATGCAGATGCTTCCAGTAACTGTGAGCATTGTCTATCCATGAAGAAGCTATGACTTTTCACTATTATCAGACTGTTGTAAGGCGCTGGTAAGTTCGTTTCAACTCATAGCGACCCTATGTACAACTGAACAGAACACTGCCCAGTCCTGGGCCTTCCTCAAAATCACCACTACGTTTGAGCCCACTGTTGGCACCCTTAAGTTGTTGCAGCCACTAAATCAAGATTTCCCATTGAAGATTTCCCTCTTGATCACTACCAAGCACGATAGTCTTCTCCAGAGACGGGTCCCTCCAGTAATCCGTGCAAAGCGTGTGAAATGAAGTCTCTCAGTCATGGCTTCTAAGGCGCATTCTGGCAATTCTTCTCTCCGCACAGATATGTTCACTCTTCCGGCAGTTCAAGGCAAGTTTACATTCTTCACCGTCACCGTACTTCAAAGGCATCCAGCCTTCTCCTGTCTTCCTTCTAGCTTTTCAGGCATAGCAATAGACTTAAAATGCCGTCGCGTGGATCAGGCGTAACGTTAGTCTTCAAAGAGACATGCTTACTCTTGGACACTTTTTTAAAAAAAATCATTTCATTGGGGGCTCATACAGCTCTTTTCAAAAAATCATTTCATTGGGAGCTCGTACAACTCTTACAATCCATACATGCATCCCTTGTATCAAGCACATTTGTACATTTGTTGCCCTCATCATTCTCAAAACATTTGCTTTCTATTTGAGCCCTTGGTATCAGTTCCTCATTTTTCCCCTCCCTCATTAACCCCTGATAATTTATAAATTATTATTATTTTGTCATGTCTTACACTGTGTGATGTCTCCCTTCACCCACTTTTCTGTTGTCCATTCCCCAGGGAGGGAGTTATATGCAGATCCTAGTGATCAGTTCCCCCTTTTCCCCACATCTTCTCCTTCCTCTCCTGGTATCGCTACTCTCATTATTGGCCCTGAGGGGTTTATCTGTCCTTGATTCCCTGTGTTTCCAGCTCTTACCTGTACATCCTCTATTCTAGTCAGATTTGTAAGGTAGAATCGCGGTCATGATAGTGGTGGGGAGGAAGCATTCAAGAACTAGAGAAAAATTTTATGTTTCATCAGTATTATACTGCACCCTGACTAGCTTGTCTCCTCCCCAAGACCCTTCTGTAAGGGGATGTCCAGTTGCCTACAGATGGGCTCTGGGTCTCTTTACTCTGCACTCCCCCTCATACACAATGATATGATTTTTTTTCTTTGATGCCTGATACCTGATCCTATCAAAACCTTGTGATCACACAGGCTGGTATGCTTCTTCCACGTGGGCTTTGTTGCTTCTGAACTAGATGGCTGCTTGTTTATCTTCAAGCCTTTAAGACCCCAGATGCTATATCTTTTGATAACTGGACACCATCAGCTTTCTTCATATTTGCTTATGCACCACTTTGTCTTCAGCCATCATGCCAGGAAGGTGAACATCATGGAATGCCAGGTTAATAGAACAAAGTGTTCTTGCATTGAGGGAGTACTTGAGTAGAGGCCCAATGTCCATCTGCTACCTTAATACTAAGCCTATAAATATATGCACATAGATCTATTTTCTCATCATCATATATAAATATATTTACATAGGAACATGCCTGGATTTAGACCTCTATAAATGCCTTTGCTTCCTAGTTATCTACTCTATTTCCCTTTACTTTCTTCTTGTTGGACACTCTTAAGTTGTTGCTTATTTGTTTGTTTGTTTGTTTTTCAAGCAGATTTGCCCAATGCACCACAGTTGGATTTTTTTATTGCTGTTTCCAATGAACAGATTGTAGATCAAAGTAAAATGAAATCCTTGACAACTTCTATTTTTCTCCACTTAATATAACATTATTTATTAGTACAGTTGTGAAGATTTTTGTTTTATTTATGTTGTGATGTAATCTACATTCATACTGAAGACTATAGTCTTGGATCTTCATCCATAAGTGCTCCAAGCCCTCTTCACTTGCAGCAAGCAAGTTTGTGTGATATGCATGTCATGTTTCTTAATGAGTCTTCCTCCACTCCTGATGCTACGTTCTTTATATAGTCCAGCTTCTAGGACTATTTGCTTAACATTCAGATTAAATAAGCATGGTGTAAGTACACAATCTTAAAGCATACATTTCCTGACTTTAAGTCAAACAGTATCTTTCTGTTCTTTTTGTATGATGCCTCTTGGTCTATGTACAGGTTCTACATGAGCACAAAACTATTAATGCTATATAAAAGACTTATAGAAATGGAACTGTGTGTGCACTAGGGAGTTTTCCCAAAGAATATGGGCATCCCTTCGAAGGCACCTCATCAGTTTTATCATCCTCAAATTGCTTCAGGTTGCCTCGTTCACAATTACCAGTCCACCTACGTCCATGGATATGCAGCAGGTTTGCTTGGATTCAGGAGAGGCTAAGAGTTCGTATTCTCCTTCCTCCCACATCGACACCAATGTTGACAAAATGTTTGCACCAGGAATTGTCTCCATCCCCAGCCACCCAGCTGACTGGGGTCTCTAAACTTTGTTAGAGATCAGATACTTCTGAGGATCTTATAGAACCTTTTGTATTGTTTACTCTAGAAAAAATGATTACAACTTCCAAGCTTGAAACAAATGTATCCATGGGGTTTTCATACACCCTCTTCTGAACTCCTAAGAACCCTTATTTTAGAGTCCTCTTAAATGGAACAACGTGTATGACATCTCATAGAATAGTCTGCAGAACCCAATTGGATAAGGAGTCCCCTGGAGCCTCCCGGAGCACGTGGTCTGTTTTGCCACTCTGGCATTCCCAGCACACAGCAGGGTGGTTGGGAAATAGTTGTTGATTAAGAAACATTGATTGAATTAATTTAATTAATAAACAAGGCTCCCTAATAACTTCAGGGAGATCAGGCATAGGCAATACAGGATTTATTTGACACCCAAAGAAAGAGGCAGCAACTGTTAAGTGTTATAATCAGGACACTGTGGAGATGTCCAATATGATTTGAAGGTGCCCAATGAAATGGGGCTTTTGGAGAGGATTTTATGATTAGTCTCAATCATTTTTTAGAGATCTTAGAGGTATACGGTGTTCTGAACTGAGATACCTGGCTTCCCATCCTATTCCTATCACTCTTTAGCTGTGACATGAGGTGAGCTATGTGGTCTTTCAGTGCCAGCTTTCTCCTATGAGGCACAGGGATCGTTTCCACTAATTTTAGAGAATTTTTGCCAGAATTAAATGATTTGTTAAATGAAAATGAACTCCAGATTTTAAAGCCTCAATGGAGCTGGGAGAGGGGTGGGGACATCCACAACCAGCCAACATCGGAATCCAATGCAGGGAGGGTTGAATGGACCCCTTGTGGCAAGTGCAGGCATTCCTACATCTCTTTTGAGGCTTACAGGGAGGGGGGGGGCGTTAAAAAATGGAATTAAAGACAATAAAAGTTTTCCACAAACTTTTTGAAGCCCCCCCACCCCCATAACATGCTCCTGATTTTTAAAAAATCACAGAAAAAAA